GACGGACCACCTGGAAAGAGCCCAACCTCTCTGGCGGAGCTTTGGCCTCACTGTCTGGCAGACGGCGCCACCTGCAGGCCCCCAGGAGCACTGCGGCTCGGCCCCTCACCCCACTCTAGAGGTCCTGAGCTTCGCACTGCCTCGCAGGCCTTCCCTAAGGCCCTGATCAGTCGAGCAGTATGGGAAATGCCCCTTGAAGATTCTCAATGCACCTTTGCCCCTGAGGTCTGACATGATAAACACTTCAGTTCCCTGATGTGAACACTGAAGCCTAGAGAAAGTTATTTCGTCTAGACCTATGTCCTTATCTGCAGAATAGGCTTGAAAGTGCTGCATTAGAAGAGATTATCTCAGGCTGGGATTTAGCTCAGTGGTCCCGTTTGCAGGTTCACTGCCTGCCTTGAAAGCACAAAGACCCGAGTTCGATCCCCGGTACCAAAAAAAAAAGACCTAGAGAAAGTTATCGTCTAGACCTATGTCCTTATCTGCAGAATAGGCTTGAAAGTGCTGCATTAGAAGAGATTATCTCAGGCTGGGATTTAGCTCAGTGGTCCCGTTTGCAGGTTCACTGCCTGCCTTGAAAGCACAAAGACCCCAGTTCGATCCCCGGTACCAAAAAAAAAAGGGACCTTACCTCAAAGGTGAGGAGAGACTCTCAGACTTTAATAAGAGAGACTCATGTGGAAGTAGGCTTAAAATAAACTTCTTGGACCCCACCCCTCCAGCAATCCCAACTCCAGGGAGCCAGTCCCTGGAGCAAGGTAACCTGAAGTCCACCCAGGTGAGGAATAAGGACGTCCTGGGGCACTGGCAGCAGTGGAAGGGGAGGAGAGGGAGCTTTCAGGGGTAAATCCTTTAACTCCTTTGGAATACGGAAAGAAAACTTAGAAATTTTATAATTGCATTTATTTCTTATACTTTTTAAAACTTCAAGGAGCTGTGTATGTACTATTACATAATATATTAGTACCATGGTACTTACACAGAACTTATAAATAAATAAATGATATCTATTTCAAAATATCCTTTAGATACAGATTCAGAGACTGAGTTAAGTCAATTCCTGGCACGTACTAAGCACTCACAGCTGCCACGGCACATTGTTCCCCAAAGACATTCCCGGGAACCTGTCCCCTAACCCCTTTTAGAACTGTGTCTCTATCAAGAAGTGGAGCTTTGTTGGGCACGGAGGCCTACCCTTTAATGCAGCTACTCAGAGAACATCACAAGTTCAAGGCCAGCCTAGGCAACTTAGCAAAACCCATCTCAAAAGAAGAAAAAAAGAGAATGGGGTCTAATTCCCTTCCCTTTGCTGTAAGGAACCCCAAGCTACATGGAGAGACCAAGTGACAAACCCACAAAGCCACCCACCTGAGGAGGAACAGAAAGAAAATGATGGATAAGATTGTCCTGGGGTGGGGGAGGACAAGGCCTCAGGGTGAGGAGGGTGCCCAGCCCCGAAGCAGCTCACCTTCATCAGCCTCCTTGTGGAAAGACAGAGGTGCCTCAATGGCTGCCTGAGTCTGATTCCCTTGGCTCCATCCCAGGTCACTCTAGATGAGCCTAAGTCCCATTGCCTGAAGCCATTTTGCTCTTGGAAGGAAAGAGAAATGGAAGACTCCCGTGGGCTTAAAGAGACCAGATTCATGTCTCCCTGTCCTACCACCACCTGCTCATCTGGCTAGGATCAAGCGTCCCGTGGGCTCCCTTGCTCACTGCTCTGTGATCTGAGCAATTTCCTTATCCCTCTGAGCCTGGGGCTTGCTCAATGGTAAAAGGGAACCGTGAATGGTTCTGCTCCGAAACAGGCCTTGTGTGGGCCCAAGGCGACGATACAGGTTGAGTGCCCGTTCCTAGTAAATGCTCCCTACCTGTCACTGTTTAGAGCTGTTCTGACTGAAACCCAAAAGCTCAGGCTGGTAGCAGCACCATGAGCCAGCAAATGTGCCCAGGATGCAGCTGAGCAGGAAGGAAGGAAGCTGTTTCTGAGGTGGGCCCCAGAGGCAGACAGGGACGGTCCTATCGCTTCTTGGCCTTTTGGCTAAGATCAAGTGCAGACAGGGACGGTCCTGAAAAGGGAGATGGGAGCTGATTTTATGTCCTAACTGCTAGTACTTGCTGAGACCTGAAGCACCTCCGTGTCTGTTTTTCATCTTTTATTCATTTCATAAATATTTACTGCAGGTCTACTGATTTTTTTGAGACAAGGTCTCACTATGTACTTTGAGACTGACCTGGAACTCACTGTGTAGCCCAGGTTGGTCCCAAACGCACAGCAATCCTCCTGCCTCAGCCTCCAGAGTGCTGGGATTACAGGTGTGCGCCACCACACCTGGCTCAGGTCTGTTGATTCTTATGTCATTGTTCAACTCAGGCCCAAAGCCAGCCCAGGACAAGATGTGAGCACTGTCCTATCCTCCCACCTCCATCTTCACATCTTCTTTCTTCCTGAGTTCTCACTCCTAGGCCTTAGCTGGGCGCTTCCTTGCAACAGTCCCTCTGAATCAGGGCCTTCTTCCCAGCAAGTTTCACCACACTGACTCCCCAACTGTGAAGCTGAGGAGGTGAATGGTGATTTCCCATCAAATCCTGAACTTATGAGAGCTCCTACAGAGGTACTCAAAATATATTTGTAAGGCTGGGGTGGAGCAATTGCCTAGCATGCAACACGCCCTGGGTTCCACCCCCAACACCACAAAAAGAGGGCCATGGCCAGGTAAAGAAAGCTAAAGGACCAGAGATAGGCAGTGAGGGACTCTGGGTAACAAGAGTTAGGGAGACAAGAAAGAGAGCACCAAGTCGTGGAGGGGCCATGTAAGCCTTTCTGAGAACTTGATTCTGTTGACCTTGAATACTTCAGTGTAGGCCTCAACTCACCTACATCAGAATCATCCAAGGAGTTTGTTAAAACACAACTCTGGACTCTGAGACATCTCTAGTTTTCCAACCTCAGAAGAGAGGGTGGAGGCTGACTCAGGGGTTTGGAAATGTGTCACGAGCCAACCTGCTTTTGAGAAGACACTGGTAGCACCGTAAAACATGCCCATCTGCATGTGGCGTATGCATCCACAGTGGACACTGTTGACTTAACAACTCCCTCCTGCTCTTCCTCCTTGCTAACAAGGAACTTAATTCTGTCCAGGTATTAAGCAGGTGGGTAGCAAGGCACTCAGAGAAAGGAAGTCCCATCCCCAGCTTTAAGGGAGAATCTTGATTGGATCCCTTAGTCCAGCTCCCCCTTTCCCAGACTCCCATCCATCAAGAAGTAGCCATGTGCCGGGTGTGGTGGCGCACGCCTGTAATCCCAGCACTCGGGAGGCTGAGGCAGGAGGATCGCTGTGAGTTCGAGACCAGCCTGGGTTACCTAGTGAGTTCCAGGTCAGTCTCGGCTACACAGTG